TTTTCTGAGAGAGTTCGTTTGAGAAGCTCAGCGTGACGACGCGCCATCCCTGCGCGAGGCGAAATCCCTGTCATGTTGACGCTGGAGCCGCAGCGCCTGCTTTGCAAAGGCAGCGTGACTCGTTGGCTGTGTCAGCGCGGCGCTGGCGAGCGTTGGCAGCCCCGGAGATGCTCAGGAGACCGCCCTTATCCGACGCGACAGGCCGCCCGCTGCGGGAGAGATGTCAGGCTCTGGACTGACTCAGACCTGGCTGGGCTGCTGAGTTCACCAGGGAGCGAATCAGTCGGTATCATCTGAGCAAGGTTCTCTCCTGATGAACATCGCTTCCCGCGGGCACCCGGCTGAGAACCACCGAGAGCCTGGCTGCTGTGACCTCTCTGTTCGCTCCTGCTTGAGCTGCAGCCTCAAAAAGAAGTCTTTAAACTCTCTTACCAAGTACAGAGTCACTCAGTTTCCTGCTTTCCTCTTAATAAAAACGCCGTTTATGCAGCCCGCTGCGCAGCAGTGGTGACAGTGATTAATCCTGTCAGTCCTCAAGGGAGGCTTTAGCCTCAGGAATCTTTTGTATTAATATTAATTTGCCGCTCCAACAAACAGGTATCCAATTATTAACCTTGTCCATCACGGGTGTGGGTGTCAGCGTGGCTGGAAGTGTTCGGCCTTAGTTCATTACCCCTCTGTGGCGTCTCGTCGGTGCTCGGGGCTGTCGGGCAGCCCTCGCTGAGGTGACCTGCGAGAGAGCCTTCGTGAGGTCTTCGTGATTTGCCTTTGCAAGGGAGTTCGGTGCAAGCAGACAGTGAGATCCTCCGAGGTGCTGGCTGTGCTGCTGCGAGAACGAGCAGCAGTGGAGGGACCTGCTCGTGTTTGCGTATTTTTATAAATAGATTTAACGTTGCTATTTTGTAAAATGGTTTTAGGAAAACAAGCCTTACTGCTGCTGCCTGTATCCAGGAGGGAAACGCTTTTGTGTTTCACATGGACTCAATTTTTGTGACCTAGGCAACTCAAATCTTAGTGCTTCTCTCTTGTACGAAACGACTGCTGCCTCCTCTGGGCTCGGGTGGGTTTTACTGCAGGATCTTCCTGCGCGGGGCTGTTCTGCGCAGTACGTGACTCTGTGTCTCCCTTATTTAACTCCTGTCCGCACGCAGGTCCTGAGCCTGGGAGCGCGTTTCCCTCGAGGTCTGTCCGTGCCGTTGGCTGCTGATGTGCCCGCTCTGACGTCCGCAGGGCCCTCGGCGGGGAGCCCTTGCCACGAGGCACGATGAAGATCGTGGTGGCCAAAGTGCTGTGTCTGCTGGGCATCTGTGTCCTCATGCTGGCTGGGTCCCTCCTCCCTGTCAAGATAATTGAGGCCGATTACGAGAAAGCTCATCGCTCCAAGAAGGTTCTTGCCCTCTGCAATTCTTTTGGAGGAGGAGTCTTCCTGGCCACCTGCTTCAACGCCTTGCTGCCTGCTGTGAGAGAGAAGGTAACTGCTCACGAGCCTCCTGCTTACGAGCAATTTTAGTGAACCTGCACCCCCGTGTACGTTAGGGACCTCTGTGCAGAGGAGACCACTCTCCCCTCCCCTGCCTTGTGGGAGCTCACGCCACCAGACCTCTGCCCCTGTGGAAATGGGGAGGAGCGGCCCATGGAGCCTCCTCAGGTGGCTGCTCTTTCAGATCATGGGAGCCAGATCCACCCACCTCCCATTCGGCTGCTGCTGGCTCTCTGGGTGGAGTAACTAGAGATATTTCTGATGCACAGGGAGGCTGAGCATTGCCTGGGGTGTGAGGCTTAAACTCCTGCTGTTGAGCAGCCACAACCCTTCTGCTGGAAGGGAAGTGGGTTCCCTGTCATGCTGAGGCCTGTAGACAAGGATATTAAAGCATCGTGAGTCAATTTAGCGTCCATCTAGGGTTGCGTGAACACAAGAATGTTTCCCTTCAGATGGACGGAGGTGACTGACTCCCCGTGGGTTGTTTGCTTCGTTCCAGCTCGATGAAGTTCTCAGGCAAGGCAATGTCACCACGGACTACCCAGTGGCCGAGACCATCATGATGGTTGGCTTCTTCGTGACGGTCTTTGTGGAGCAGCTCATCTTGACCTTCCAGAAGGAAAAACCCTCATTCATTGACCTGGAGACCTTCAACGCCGGGTCGGATGTCGGGAGCGACTCCGAATACGAGAGTCCCTTCATTGCATCTCCCCGAGGGCGCACGTCGTACGGTGAGCACGGTCACCACTCCCACAGCCACGGCTTCAATATCCAGGAGCTCTCCCGCTCCAGCCCCTTGCGCCTCGTGGGGCTGGTGGTCGCTCTGTGCACGCACTCCGTCTTCGAGGGGCTGGCCCTGGGCCTGCAGGAGGAGGGCAGCAAAGTCATGAGCTTGTTCCTAGGAGTCGCCATTCACGAGACGCTGGTCGCGGTGGCGCTGGGCATCAGCATGGCCAAGACCTCGTTGCCGCTGAAGGACGCCGTGAAGTTGGCCGTGACGGTGAGCCTGATGATTCCTCTGGGCATTTGCATTGGGATGGGGATTGAGAGCACCCAGAGCGCAGCCACCAGCATCATTTCCCTGCTCCTGCAAGGCATTGCGAGCGGCACTTTCCTCTTCATCACCTTCTTTGAGATCCTCGTGAAGGAGCTGGAAGACAAGAATGACCGTCTCTTGAAGGTTCTCTTCCTGGTGCTGGGCTACGCAGCTCTGGCCGGCCTGGTCTTCCTCAAGTGGTGAGCACGGGAGCGGTGGGGAGCAACCCTCACCCCCTTCCCCTGCGAACGGCGCCGGAGACGAGCCTCCTCTTCAGCCAAGGGGGACACTGAAGCTCATGGCCAAGCAAACCATCGCGGTTCAGGAGGTATTTCTGTCTTGACCTGAAGAAGGAGAATTTCCTCCCGTGAGCTCAGAGGGAGTTTAAAATGAGGAGTGTCCCAGCATAGGTGTGA